TCCTTACCTATTAGCACAACTTGCTGTAGCAAAATATGCACGCTCTTTTCTGTGCCATTAAATAGTTTGCAAATAAAAGTGCTCCCTTTTTTAAACTGCAGGGAGGAAGAGAGACTTGATATATGCATGGACCCATGCTGCAGATTTTCTAGAATTCAGTTCCAACAGGTTTTCAAATCATTGAATGATTTATGTTGAGAGGAGTTCCTGACTTCATTTCTGCATCCAGTCCTCAGCAGAATCAATAAAAATTACTTGCATTCAAACCTCCCCATCAAATTGATCCAATGGCAATGGATAAAATGCAATGGCAGTCTCAGAGGAAATACTTCACCCTATTTTTTTCTAGTAATGTTCAAATAGAAGAACTAAAATCAACATCTCCCCCCTTTAATGCTTGTCTTTCTGGGACAGATGAGGAATAACATTTATATTAGGAATATTAACAATTCTTCAGAGTACAGTATGTATTACCTGAATTTAGATTTTTTTCTCTCTCCATAAATTGTCTTTTTTCATCCTGCCTTCTGTCTGCCTCCATTGATCTTTTAGTTCCTTCCCTGTTGCGTAGTCCATGAATTTTCAGGATGGCAACATCATCTTTTGCATTCTTAGGTGGATCAAGAATGCAAATCTTGACCTCTCTCCTGCAATTCCTCTCAAGCCTGCTGCCTTCTAGTTGTGCTGGGCTTCCCACTGCTTGGAGAATTGGACCCATGAGTGTGAGCTCTTCCCCAGTTGCATCTTCCTACTGCATGGGGAAGGTCTTGAAATAAAGTGTGTAACTGGCATCATGCCTTCCATTGTCTACTGCTCTGGGGGGTTGTGCCTGCTCACATCCTGGGCTTGTGCTGCCATGAGTGCAGAGGTTGCTGCAAAACTGTAAGGTTTATCCCAGGCTCTCAGCCAAAGTGCTGTAAGCAGAAAGGACTGATCCAAGAAAGCTCAAGCCAAGCACTGGGCAGAGCTGAAATTGTGAGTTAAAAAGGAACAGGGGGTAAAACATGACTGTATCTGGCAGGGACCTGAATTTCCTTAAATGGTACTTAGGTGTCTGAAAGAAGCCACTTACATGTTCTCTTCTCTCCTGAAGCTGCGAATTCTGAATTGCAAACCAGGGGTGAAACTGAGGACTCAAACTGGTAAGGAAGCACACCAACATTAGAATAAGATGGAGGTAGGCTTCACACTCCCCTTCCAATACAACACGACATGGTCCTTGTTGGTTGGAATTGGAAATTTGGCCTTGGACCTAACACCTGTTGTGTTCCAAGGGTGAAAAATCTCATGGGCCATGTAAATCAAGACTATGAAGGCATGCATGTGAGGCAGCTTACAGCCACTCCACCAGCCTCTGGGAAATTATTAAAAAGTAGTGACATGGGTACATTGTATGCTTCATTTGGAAGCATGCAAAACTGCTGAACTTGAGGGGGACTTAGGCGCTCAGTGCCTCTGGAAATCAGGCCACTTCCAATTTGTTACCTAAATATGGTTTGAGAAGCTTAAATTTAGATGCCCAATTCTGAACATTTTGGTCATAATTCCTGCAAGTTGCAGTGAACCTCAGCTGGAAAGGAGTTAATAAGAAAATTTTACATTGAGATCATTGTTATCTATATCAAAAGATAAAAACACAGTATGTTACAATGTAACTTCCCTTTGAACAAATATAGTAATAGTGCTGCAACTTTGACTTTATATGGTTGAGACACAAAATTTGGGCGATTTAGTTAACATGTATCTGCAAGTTCCTGGAACAATACAAAATTAGATCATAACTGGTATGTGCCACCCTCCTCTTTTAAAGCAGTTAAAAAGGTACAGTTGTCCATATCCAGGGTGTTAAAACAGAAAATGTCAAGCAATTTTAATAATTTGGTGGTAGTGCCACCACCTGCACTTATCCAACATGGGGGG